GAAGGAAAAAAAGACAACTTACCAATCTCTTGGTTTTCTTCCTTCTTATCGGCCATGATTGCGATATTCTTATGTTACGGGTGGAAGGTGTCAAGGGTAGTATTGAGATTTATTGTTGTTGTAAAGTCTGGAGGTGCAAAAACAATGTTTTCTTATTTTCCCCTCACAAGTTGAAAGTCCAAGGTAGAGGATCCAGGCGAGCCAGGTACTTTACCGCTTTGGAAGGATTAAGGATTGTGTGGGCTTTGTTTCGCTTGGTGACCTCACCGAGCTTCTTCTATGTCTATGTATGCCTGTCCTAGGCACAGTGCCTTTTTGCTTCGAGCTTCTTGCTGTTCTCGACTGCATTAAGCAGGAGCTAAGAGATTGGGTATGTATGAGAATATGAGAAATTCGAATTCGAGAAATTCATTGTAAGATCAGGACCGGTAGTACTGCGCTTGTTTTCGTCAATTCGTCAACATATACCTGAATACTTGATGTACTTGATGATGGTTGAATAATGTGTGAATTTTTTACGGTTCAAATGCATTCAAAAGAATGTTCTGTTAACCTTACCACCACCACCACCACCACTAGCTATTCAATCACACCACCCATGAATTTGTTCGGGAGGCAGCGGCCCGCATAGAAGCTTCTCAGAGCTTGTACCTATCTAGTATTGGATCGCTATTTTGTTGTTGTTTACCTAGGTACCTTAGTAGACACTTTTTCCAATTAGTCTGCCTCCACGGCAGTGGCTCCCAGAGGGCCAGCGGAGCGACAGTTCAACTATTTAGGTGACTTAGGTTTTGCCTATCATTATAATGAAAGTACTCTCCGAAGAATCCCGTTTTCTCATTGCGTTTGAGAGTTTGGATGGTATATCGTATACTTGAGTATCAAATCTATGGAATTGGCTCATTGGGTAAGGAATGTCTAGTACCTGGGCACATTATATTATCCTACACAGGCACGTGCAAGGTAGTCTGCCTCCTGCTCAAGCTCGGCAAGATCAACACATTTATGACTAATCAAGCTCTTGGAATTAACATTCTTCGCGGTCAACCGTAGAAGCTTACTATGGAGTACTCTACAAGCCAACATCACAATTAATCAACCATACTCAGCCATACTCCGTACTCCCATACCCGACCTACCTAGTAGGCTAGGTACCTACCTATGGATCACTAAACTTACGCCTCACTCCTCACTCCTCACTCCTCGCGCCTCACGCCTCACGCCTCACTCATTCACGCCTCGTGTATTATTAGTCTGTGTACATCCATATCCATTTATCTTGTCGCGAGTTCAAGGTTCGCGATTATGAGATTCATAATTGTGCATTATTGATAATTAAATCCACCTTCCACTAACTACATTCTTTCTTTCATCTTCTCACATTCGTCGCATAGTTGTCGCGAATGTTTTCGCTATGACACCAGATATCCAGCAGACTTCTCAAGATGATTCTTCCTCAGCTAATGCTAATGCAACTGCACCTTCTGAGTCTGCGAATCCCACTCCATCCCAGTCTTCCACTTTAACTCATCGACCTCGAACGAAATCAGATTTCGATAAGCTATTACTGGAACAATACTTACATCACACTTTAATTCATTCCGCTGCCATTGTCGATGACCAGGACAAACGGAAGGCTTATTATCTCCACAAACATCACGAAGCGCAAGATTACGAGCTTGTAAAAAACCACAAAGATGTCTTTACCGCAAGTCGATTATATGGGACAGGTTACAATGGATATGGGAATGGATTCACCGATGGGCCAACAAGAATATTATATTCGCATGCGAAATTCGCGAAGAGGAAAGCGAAGCCATTGCGAATTAAGCGCAAAGATATGGCCATGCAGGCAGATCAAGTGGAAGAGTTGGTTCCCATAAGATTGGATGTGGATTGGGATAAGGTGAAACTTCGAGATACTTTCACTTGGAATTTGCATGATCGAACGGTTACCACAGAGTTGTTCGCGAAGCAGCTTATAGCGGACTTTGGTCTGATTACTCCAGTAGCAGAACCGGTACTACAACAAGTTCAACAACAGATGCATGATCAAATCGTCGACTTTAACCCCTTGGTTTACTTTCCGGAAGACCCCCTGGATGAAATGTTACCATATACGGCATACAAGAATGATGAGCTGCGCATCCTCATCAAGCTCAACATCACTATTGGACCACATACCTTGGAAGACAAATTCGAATGGGATATTAATAATCCTTTGAATTCACCAGAAGAGTTTGCGCAAAGTATGGCCAAAGATTTGTCCCTTTCTGGGGAGTTCACTACCGCAATCGCACACTGTATACGTGAACAAAGTCAATTGTTCATACGGAGTTTGTACGGTGTTGGGCATCCGTTCGATGGCAGGCCAGTAGAAGATGCCGATTTAGTTGCAGCATTTTTACCTTCGCCTCTACCCTCAGTATTACGGCCACATCAACAAATCAAAGAATTTGCGCCATATCTGTATGAAGTGACGGAAGCAGATTTAGAGAAGCACGATTTAGTATTTTCACGAGAACAACGAAGGCAGAAGAGATCTGTAAATAGGCGAGGAGGACCAGTTCTACCAGATCTAAAGGACAGGCAAAGGACAGTGAGAACTTTGGTTGTTTCTTCTGTATTACCTGGGGCAGCAGCAACGGTTGAAGAGAGTCGATTATACAAACGAGTAGGGGTTCCATCAGGAAGAGGAAGACGTGCTGGTTTTGGTCGACAAGATGGTGCAGATTTATCAGAATCGGATGATAGTGAAGATTCTAATCCTGAATCACCGGCTATTCAAGTAAATCAAGGTACCGCAAGGACGAGAAATATGCGTGGAGCAGCTACAGCAGCTCAACAAAGAATGGCCAATATCGGAAGATCAGAAACTCCAGAATCTATGCTAGCACACCATCATGAAACTAGGACATCGGGGAGGAAATCTGGCCGTGACGCTCGCGAGGATACTGTGGATACTCCTTCACTGATAGTGAAATTGAAAATATCGAAAGAGAAATTCAAGAAATTAGTCAAAGACATAGGCAAAGGTCGTTCGAGTCATCAACAAACTCCTTCTGTAACTCGCGCAACATCAACCTTTGGTACTCCTGCTCCACCCGGATCTATGGGTCCACCTTCAACACCCGGAGTTCAACCAGCTCAACCATTGGCAACAACACCAGCACCAGCTCCTACTCCGCAACCAGTAAATGCAGTGGCAGTAGGTCAGATAGGTAGAATTGATGCGCCACCTCCTATACCTGGTCAAGCTCCTCCAGCTGTAAGTGTATATCTCTTAATACGTTTTGGCTCATGATTATACTTAACATACTTTATCCCATCACTGTCTCACCCTCCCCTCACCCTCCCCTCATTCCCAAACTATTCCAAAGCCTAACTAACACTCCCCATCAGCCCCCTCCACCCCCCTCCTGGCTAGCAACCGGCCTAACGGCCCTTCATCAACAATACCCCAACGATCGTTTCGAAGGTATGATGCGCTACTCGGCTGTTTCCATCACAACCGAAACTCCAGTCCCAGCACCAGCTCCAGGCACAAATCCTGAAGGTATCAAATGGATGTATCTTCCCAGAATCAGATGTCATGATTGTCCAGGGAAGTTGTATACCCCAGGTCCAGATACGACGGTGGGGAATTTTGAAGTGCATCTCAAGAATAAGGGACATAGGGAAAAAGTCAATTTGAGAGTTGGAGCACAAGTCACGAGTTGAGAGTTTGATCGAGTTGTGGAAGATGGAGGTAGAGGCTTTTTAACTGGGATTGAAATAGGAAGGATTGGAGATGCAATGGAATGGAATGGAATAAGCAGGTGAAAAACTCCAAATGTCAATCTGAATAGAGACATTGTATTATAGAATAGGATAGCGTGGTGCTTACTTACTTATTTACTGGCTCAATTTATCACGGGAATAAATAAAGTTTATTAGATTCACGTATAAATACACAGAGAGATACATAGCAGTTGATATAAGTAATGTGATGATGGATAGACAGTATACCGATTCATATCATATCATATCATATCATCTCACTCACATCACATCAAACACAAACCCCACACAAACTTACCCATCTCCCCATCTCCGGAAACGTAGCTTTTTCTTTCTCAATCCAGATCAATCCATCCATTCATTCATCAATACATATCCATCCCATCCCAATCAATCAGTTAATCAGTTAATCAACCAATCAAATCAAAACAACCCTTCAACAACCCCCCAAATCCATCTTATCCCCATCTTATCCCCGCTTCAAATCCGCTTCAAATCCGTCTTATACCCATTCCAAGACCGCTCCAAGCCCACTCGCTTCAAGATCACTCACTTCGAGACCGCTTTCCATATTCATTTGAGATTTGAGATTTGAGTTTTGAATTTTGAGATTTGAGTTTTGAATTTTGAATTTCACTCGGCCGAATTCGGTGGGATGAGGGATGAGAGGGATGAGAGATGAGGGGGGAGGGGAGGGGAAGTGGAGAGGGGAAGTGGAGTTTCGTATAGATGGATAGAGGTATAGAGGTATAGAGGAATAGAGGAATAGAGGAATAGACAAATAGAAGTAGGAAAGAGGAAAGAGGAAAGAGGAAAGAGGAAAAGAGAAAAAGAGAAATTAATACCTAGGTAGGATTCTTATGGTATGCTGGTATCGTGGTGGTGGTATGGTGGAGATGATTTGGGGGGAGGGGGGTCAGGGTTTGGATTTTGATAGAGGTGGGTGGGTATAGGTATCTAGGTAGATGGATAGGTACCTAGCTAGGTAGATGGGTATATAAGGGGGATTGTGTCCGGCTTTTTAGATGTGATTGATTGATTGATTTTATTTATATTTATATTTAGATTTAGATTTACATTTACATTTACATTTATATTTACATTTCACTGATCGATTGCGAGTTTGAGATTATTCTACTTTATTTGTTTACTCTTTCATACAATACACTTTCTACTCAAAACCTACCCTAAAAGTCCACCCCCAAACTCCCCCCCCAAAAATGTCACCCACCATCCTCATCATCGGCGCAACCGGCAACACCGGGCTCCCCCTCACCAATTACCTTTCCGCACACCTCCCACCCACCCAACGCATCCTCGCCCTAACCCGTTCCTCCCGCTCCCCCACCGCGCTCCATCTCGCCTCCCTCCCCTCCGTCCAAGTCCTCGAATATTCCTACCCCGAAATCACCACTTCCTGGCTCATCGAGCACGAAGTCCAAAGAGTTTTCATCTCGACCCACACCGAACCGACGCATTTCTCAGAAGAATCGCAATTTCTGCTGGCGGCCCGCGCTGCCGGCGTGAAATACGTCGTGCGCATGAGTACCACAGCCGCCAACGTGCACGCGGTCGCGCTACCATATTACGCGCGGAATCACTGGGCCATCGAGACTCTTCTTTCCACGCCCGAGTTTTCTGCATCGGGAGATTTGAAATGGACGAGTCTCCAGCCGAATGGCTTCACGAATGTGTATCTCTATACCGCGGCGGCGTTTATCCGGGAATACCGCGCGACGGGTTCGGTGCCGGAGACTCTGCCTTTGTTCGCTGATGAGGATGCAAAGGTGGGGATTATCAACCCGGCTGATATTGGGCTTTTGGCGGCGAAATTGCTGCTTGCTTCTGATGCGGAGGTGGAGAAACATAATGGCAAGAAATACGTGCTTAACGGTCCTGAAGATATTACCGGCCGGGGAATCGTAGCCTTGGTGGAGAAATATCTAGATGGAAAGAAAGTGAAAGAGGTGAAGTATAGAGATAAAACGATGATGAATGCGATGTTTGCACAATCGCCATATTCGAAAAATTTAATGGCGAGTTTCAAGCATGCGCCGGAGGCGAACTGGAATGGAAAGTGTGGTGTTGCGACGACTAGTAAGGAGGTTTTGGAATTTGCTGCGCCAAAGGGAACACCAGAGGAGGCATTGAAAGCTATGTTGGAGCAGTAGGCAGATTTTGACGTACATGAATATTTTTGGAGGGGTAGAAGGAGAAGTTTCAGTTGCTGATGAGTAAGGAAGTACGAAAATCGACGGTGTCGAAATGTACAATTGAGGAATGTTTTGGAAAGGATTCTGCAGAAGAGAAGATGTATTTACCTTCTTTTCACATTCTCTTATTGAGGCGAGAAATGCATAGGAAGGAGATTTTGCTCTTTCCTTTTCCTCGCTTTCTAGATTGCCACCCTTACTTTCGTGTTTTCTTTTTGATGTACGTATTCACCAAGTGTATAGATTTCAGAAATCAACATTTAGAAATAGCGATCATTGAAATGTGAACAATCAGAAAGATAAAATCACAGAAATAGAACTAGAAGCAGTCAAGAGTTTGAAAGTAATAGATACAAAAATAAGAACTATGCAATAAAGGTACTAGGTAGATAGTATAAATAATACAAATACTCACACTTGTGAATCCAAAAATACACAGTCGAAATGAAAAGCGATTTGCCTGAACCTTGATTATACCATGATCGTATGGTACCCTATTGGTCACATCACTCATAATTTGAGCCCCCTTTCCTGGTTCTGTACTCAGAAAGATCTTGATATAAACTATTGTTCCATTCTGGATGTTCTGTTCATCTATCCCCTATTCCCCAATTCGAATACCAGATCCGTTCATCTGTATGTTAATCTCAAGAAACACCCCATCCAACCCCTTTCCACCTTATCCCTATTTGATAGATCCCACCCATGATAGGCATCCCCAATCCAATACACTCCCAACCATCCATAAACATATCCGTAAAACGCCGTGCATGAATCGTCCATCCTCTACGATATCTGAACCAAACGAGACCATGATAATCAACTTGTGTTCTTGAGCATCTATGATTGGATGAATAGTGAACATCACATGCTTAATCCATCCCATCACCCTCCTGTCCCAAGACAACGCCAGATTTCCATGTACTGATGTATCCATAAATCAAAATACCCCTCGTTCCCATGAAATATCGCTAGAAAGAGATCCAAACCACCCAATTCCTGTACGCCCTACCCAAGAAATGTCTAGAAACAGAATCTAGAGAACCGAACCAATTTCTGAATTACAAGTGAAAGAAGCTCTGGATCGAAGGGATCAAATATTTGTAAGTAAGTGACCGAAACAGTGGGTGTGAATGTTCCAATCGGACTGAAACAAAAGAACCAAACCAAGTGTCCCAGAGAACATGAAGTAAAAAAATCAGAAATCCCGTAAAGCAAGCTCAAACTCTTGCAGCCATACTTTGTTTTCTTTGCGGAGCATTCTGCAACGAAAATCCACTCGGTCTTCTACCCGGCAAGCCCATTTCCCCATTTCCATTTTCATTTGTACCATCTCCCATTCCCCCCATTATCTCATCTCCCACAGCATCCTCTCCGTTTTCCATCGACGGTGTCGCTTTCTGGACTACCTTACAGATATTTAATGTAAATCCATTTGTAGCGTTATGTAATTGTTCCCATAATCTCTCATCTCTGTATCGATACTGGATTGGATATTGTATAAGTGGTGGGACTAAAGGTTGTGGATTCCAATTTGCGAGACCAGATTGAACGGCGAGAAGTTCTTCGTCAGAGTCGATAGGGCCATTGAGTAGTTCTTCGTCTTCAAGAGGGGCATTGGCGTCGATTGCTGCTTCTGTTTTTGTGATTAAGTTAGAAGTCGATCTTTGGAATTAGGAAAGAGTGCGGTTAGGACTGGGAAGAGGAAGGAAGGAAGGAAACAAAGAAATATCATACTTTGTTGTTTGGCTTGGTTTTTCTTCTGGTACTGCGAAAGAAGCATATCGTAAGGTAAGGTACGACCAGGAACAGCTCTTTTAGCTCCCATAGAATGCGATTTGCAGGTTAAGGAGCGGGCGCAAGGAACACCATCTTTCAGGACTCCACATTGGCGTTCTACATCGACTGGACCTTCAGAAAGAGTTAATTTGTTAGCTAAAAGTGTTTTTTGAAATAATCTTGTAGACCGTCTAGTCTCCATGATTGAGATAATTGGGTATTTCGATAAGAATGAAGGAAAAGATTAAATGCAAAGTAAACATCTTCAAAAGTCGGAGAAGAACTCTTGAGACGAATAGTGAAACCCGCATAGAGTGACACTCAGATGGTCCCCCCTTTAGACGCTTCCACTACCTGCCTCCGCCGTCTTCCCCATTAACCCAAAATATGAAATAGAAGCGATTGAAGCTTCGGTGATCAAAAATGCATACCTTTTGGTTTCGGAGCCTTTGGTTTTGGCTCTTCCTTCTTTTTCTTCTGTTTTGGACCCTTTTCTCCCTCGCCATCTGCCTTTCTCTTCTTCCCCTTCGCATCCCCATTATTTTTACCCGCACTCTTCTTCGAACTCTTGAAGCCACCCGGGCCCTTCTCCTCATCATCGTCATCATCATCACTGCCCATTTTTGTATCTCCATCTCCATCGACATCTTTATTTGCCAATTTCTTTTTGACCTTATCCCTAGCTTCTTTCGCCTCCTTCTTCTTTAACAATTTGACTCTCTTCGCATTCAAACATGCTTTTACATGCGAAACTGTTGCGGTCTTCAATACACTCTTCTTGCAATGCTTACAAACTTGTAAATCGGGATCATCTTCTAAAGGTCTGCCTGTAGCAAATGTTTCAAGCGCGGCATCATCCAACATATTAACTACAGGACCAGGACTTGGAATTGAATTCGCGATTGGTGTATCTGTTCCTTTCTTCTTCTCGTCGACTATTGTAGCCTGATTAGTCCCTCATCATGAGTCGTGTTGTAGAATTGTGGTGGGAAGAATACCATCAATAATACTTCCTTCTCTCCAATTGCCAGGCTTATTGTGCTTCGGAGGTTGTTTCTTTAATTTGATAGTGCCTAATAACTTATCGCCTCCTCCTCGTTCTCTCTTGGGCGCGACTTTGATAGTTGAATCATCGTCACTCGCGACGGAAACTGTTGATATTGATTAACATATTGAATTGCGACTGATTGAAAAGAAGATGTTTACCTCTCCTGCTAGCCATATCGTCGCGAAACTTTGAGAAAATCTGTTGCAGGAGATGTGATGATGGTGGTTATTTCTTTGTAATTGGTGTGATGTTGGAGTCTGGACAAGGCTGAGCTCGGCTGAGATAACCTTACTGGCCCACTAATAACTAGGGTTGATCTCGACTCCTCGATTCGGTAAATTTCCGGCGATTTGTTCCTGCAGCCTGATCTGATTCTGGCCTGGTTTTTGGCCTGTGATGTGTGTGGAGTTGTGGGGGATTTCAAGGTTGTCCTTGAAAAGAATTGTTCATATCTTTTTGCTTTTTCTTATCTGATGGTTCCAAAGGGAAAATTGTCGGCTTCAAAATTTGGTACAGGGAGCCATTTCGTAGGAGGGAGACTGTAGAGCCTCAACATATATCTACCTAGCTTTCAGAGTAAGACTCTTGCATCGATGAATGTAACTAAAGATTTCCAACAAACCTTTCTTTCACAGCAAAATAACTTTCCCGTTTGGAACGCTGCACATCTTAACATGTATTCACGATGTGCCTGGTGCCTATACATCCATTTGTCTTGATAATTTCTACAGATATAATCAGCTGAGAAATCTGCATTATTGAGATATGTATGACTTGTTATACTACATATTATCGATTCTTTGTGGTATCTATCTAGTGAAATTTACTCATTCCAAACTGTATATCCGCTACATACATCCACATCTATTTCCTACTCCTACATCTAGGCACACCTCCCAGATATCCAAAACATAATGCAGCAACCACAGCACACATGCCGGCCACCACTGCGTTCATATTCCCATACCCAATTCCCTCTCTCAAACTCCCCGCCATCACGGGCCCAACAGTGAATCCTGCACTGAAAACCATACTATTCAACGCATACAATTGTGCGTATGGTCCTTCCTCCCCAAATAACTCTGGATTGGCATTATGATATTTCTCCGCAACGTAGGATGCTTCCACAATACTCGGTGCTCCAATCAACGCCATCCCAAATCCACAGAGCGATAAGAGGGCACAGTAAAGGACTAAGTCATGCGTTGTATTTGAAACGGGAAGACGGAGGAGGATCAGAGGTAGGATAAAAAATGTGTACCCAATTGTTCCAATGATCTTGGGCCCGTATCTATCAACTCCCATTCCAGCCAACGGACCGAAGATGAGAGAGGTGAGAACAATGGGGGTAAAAAGTAGTCCAGTTTGTAAAGCTGTAAATCCAAAGAGCGATTGTGACTGTGTGGGAATAGTGGCGTCGAAAACTGCAAGAATAGTAGCTTGCATGAAAGCTACTAGTTCTGCTGTAAGGAGCCGGGGGGAAGAGAGAAGATAAAGAATTGGAAACTTTTTGACGAATTTTGGGAGTTCTTCGCGAATTTTCCAAGAGTCAAGATCTGAGTCTTTTCCATTCCCGAGCAATGGTGCCTCTTCTCCATTTCCATTTCCATTTCCACTCTCACTCGCCCCTCCTTGTTCACTTCCGTCCAATCCCTCCTCAACCCCCCACTTCCTCGCAACCTTCTTCTCAATAACCGCCACTCTCATCCCAAAGTCCATCCCTAAAAGCGCAATTCCCATTCCAAACACCGCATTACTTCCCACCTTGTCATAAACCACTCCTCCCAACACCGGCGCCACCAATTCCCCCGTACTGATGAAACTGAAAATAGTTCCAATCGTGACTCCCAATTTCTCACTTCCAACCGTGTCCATCACGAGCGCCAATCCGATTGTCCAAACCGTTGCTCCTGAAACACCCTGGAAAATTCTCGCGATTATCAAGACCTCTATACTCGTTCCTAGCATTAGGAGCACCGTACTCGCTAATAGAGCTACTAAGCCTACTAGAAATGGAAGTTGACGAGAAGATAAACGATCGGCGATATAACCAGCCGGAAATGAAAATAATACGGATGCTCCTGCATAACAGGCAAGGAGGACAGAAGTGTAATATTGAATTTCCGATTGT